AAACTGGCAGGATGGACTTGAGTCCTGGAGATGGGAAGTACAGTGCTGCACTCTCAAGGAGAGGTGTTAATGTTGCAGTTTTATAATTGTAGAGTAAGAGTGCCTCAGGCAAGACAGTGATGGAGTGAATAATGAAGGTTTTTCTATTTTGGGCCACCCTGCCTTGGTGGGAGAATGAAGAGAACAAAATTTGATAGTATGGAAAGACAAAATGAACCTAGGAAGGAATTAGATATTGTAAACATTAAAATAAAAGTTCTGAAAGTCACATTTGTGAATGCTAAGGGCATGAATTAATACTAAAGGAGGCAAAAGTCTTAAAAAAAAATAAGATTACAGTGGTACCTTGACTTACGGGTTTAATTTGTTCCGTGACCAAGCTCGTAACTAAATTTGCTCGTACTGTATGTGAAATCAATTTTCCTCATTGAAATTAACTGAAATGCCATTAATCTGTTCCAGCCCCCAAAAAACCACCCGAAGATAAGCAGAGATAGGCTCAATCGCTTAACTTACTTGCTACACTCTTCACTACTTCACCCATCACCTTCACTACTCTACCCACCATTATCACTACTCCACCCACCATTATCACTACTCCACCCACCACCATCACTACTCCACCCACCACTATCATTACTCCACCCATCATTATCACTACTCCACTCACCACCATCACTACTCTACTCACATTTATCACAGCTCCACCCACCACCTTCACTACTCCACCCACCACCATCACTTCTCCACCCACCACCATCACTTCTCCACCCACCACCTTCATTACTCCACCCACCACTATTGCTACTCCACCCACTACTATCACTACTTCACCCACCACCCTCACTACTCCACCCACCATTATCACTACTCCATCCACCACCATCACTACTTCAACCACCACTATCACTACTCCATCCACCACCATCACTACTCCACCCACCACCATCACTACTCTACCCATCACCATCACTACTCCACCCATCAACATCACTACTCCACCCACCACTATCACTACTCCACCCACCACTCACTACTCCACCCACTAAAGGAACCTCCATGAGGCAGGTAAATATCACAGAGACCTTCCTTAATACAGTGGACCCCCGGTTTACGATATTTTTTCATTCCAGAAGTATGTTCAGGTGCCAGTACTGACCGAATTTGTTCCCATAAGGAATATTGTGAATTAGATTAGTCCATTTCAGACCCCCAAACATACACATACAAACGCACTTACATAAATACACTTACATAACTGGTCGCACTGGGAGGTGATCGTAAAGCGGGGGTCCACTGTATTTCTGGAAAAATTCTGAGTGTTGAAATGGAGGTTACCTCTTCCCCAGATTTATATGAGAACCAAACAAGGGACAAGGTGCCTCACTGCAATCTGCGATTAGTGTGGGAGTATTATCCTTCCATTTACGTCTTGGAAGAGCATGTGGGATGGGATGATGTACCTGACATTCCTCTGGGTACAGAGTTGGATCTGACTTCAGATACGGCCACCAACTAGTGACAGCATATCTGAAACTCGCTTGTAACTCGGATTTTGACTTGCAACTCAAAGCAAAAAATCAACCGAGCGACAGCTCGTAACTCGGAAAACTCGTAAGTTGGGGCACTCGTAAGTCAATAGATTACTGGGATTTATATCAAGAAGTGTAAGCAACAGAAGTCCAGAGGTCATACTGCAGCTTTATACATCATTAGTAAGGCCTCACCTAGATTATGCAGCTCAATTCTGGTCTCCATATTACAGAATAGACATAAATTCGTTAGAAAACATTCAGCGTAGGATGACTAAATTAATACATAGCATTAGAAATCTTCCTTATGAAGAAAGATTGAAGACTCTTAAATTACATTCACTTGTTAGACGAAGAATGAGGGGAGACCTGATTGAAGTGTATAAGTGGAAGATAGGTATTAATAAAGGGGATATTAATAAGGTCTTGAGGATATCTCTCCAAGAGAGAACCCGCAGTAATGGATTTAAATTAGATAAGTTTAGATTTAGAAAGAACATAGGAAAGTATTGGTTTGGAAATAGGGTAGTTGATGAGTGGAACAGTCTACCTAGTTGGGTTATTGAGGCTAGGACTTTGGGTAGTTTCAAATTTAGGTTGGATAAATATATGAGTGAGAGGGGTTGGATTTGAGTGGGACTTGCACATCAGAGCTTATTTCTTGGGTAGCATTGAAAATTGGGTTGGGCAAATGTTTTGTTAGTGGGATGAATTGTAAAGGACCTGCCTAGTATGGGCCAACAGGCCTGCTGCAGTGTTCCTCCTTTCTTATGTTCTTATGTCAAGGTACCACTGTATAAAGAATCTCAAAGCAAACATTAAATTAGCTAATTATAAGATACAGAGTCATTCTACATAGCAGCAGGTCTGAAGAGGCTTAACAGAATTTGTGGGCTTAAGGAAAAAATAGTGAGACAGACAACAAAGAAAAATAACCATGACACCATAATTATAAAACTACCTTCTTGAATGTAGCTTGCTACCTTGGTTGGAGGTCAAAGCCAACAAGTGGATAAAAAGACACTATGTTACTATAGCATTTTGTCCAAGGCTGGTCTGTATCAAGTAATACTTGAAGTCCAGTCCTGGACAATACACTGCATTAGTAATAAAGATTTCCCTGTAATTTAATGCACTTTTATCAAGTTTGCTACCTATGTGTTTGTTCTTGACCCTCAGTTACTGTGGATGTTGTAATAGCTCATAAGAGCAAAAATAGGTAATAGTGTAACACCTGTTTGTTTGTTTACTGTCATGTACTGTCACCAAGTGGTAAAGCAGTGTTGTCATGTTCACATACTAACAGTTATAATAAATTTATATACCAACACCCAATGAGAAGTAGAAAAAGTTATCCTGATAAGACTTGATTAACTGGTAAGGAATCCAGAGGGAAGAACATGCCCATAACCTTACCCTTATTTAAATAAACATTAAGACAGATGGGGGGCATGAACCACAGCCTGTAAATTGACAGTCTGGCGGAGAAGATGGTAATCTTCTCCACCAGACTTACTATACTAAATTCCATCGAAGGCATCATCAGTAACCCAACTGAATTCCTTTCTACAGCCCAGTAGCTTTAACAGTCAATCGATTCTTGCCCCCCCTCCCTAGAGTGAGATCTATGATGTTATAGAGAGGCATGAATAGATCTCCCTCTAGGGAGGGGGGCAAGAATCAATCTACTGTTAAAGCTACTGGGCTGTAGGAACGAGTTCAGTTGGGTTGCAGATGGAATTTAGTGTAGTAAGTACTAGTTCCAATGCCTTCCTCTTGCATTCCTGGTGGTGAAGACAGTAGTGTCAGACTATCAGTTTACAGACTGCAGTTCACCCCTCCACCCATGTCCATCTTTCTGTTTATTCACTGACAATTGTTTATTACAACTTAATCTGTGATCTGTGTTCTTACCCTTATTTGTTTTTTAATGTTTTTTTTATTTAGGCTGTTTCATAGAGAATTCATTATATTCATGGGAATGTGCTAAACCCATATGAGTTGTACAGCACCTGGGAAATGAGAGGTAACCAGATATAACCCAAGGGATAGGTAGCACCTATTCTTTAGATTAAGAGCCCTTGGCCAGCATCAAAATACCCCCATGAAGTATCACTAAACTTATGCATACAATATTACATTTAATCTATACAAAGTGACATGTACGTTTATTAGAATTATTATTATTCTTATAATAAAAAAGAAGTGCTAAACCCTTTATCAGAAGTTTACTAATGTTTAGGGATTTGGTTATCATAGAGTTTAGGTCCTGATCTGAACTCATTATTTTACTGAGATAAAACAGAAGCAGGTTATCGTAAATAAAAAGATGATTCAACTTGAAGAATTATAATTTTGGCAGGTGGGAAAGATAAAGGATATTTATTACAGATTAAATCAATTCTTTGGTGATAAATTTATCGCCATCAGGAATCAATAAATATCCTATAAAGATTTCTTAGTTTTCCCTCCTGCCAAAACTATAATTCTACAAGAATATTATCTATACCCCAACAACAATTATTTCTTGGGTAAGATTTTATTTGGGGAAATATAAAAAATAATACATTTGTATTTTGGCACAAGTAATATATCAGAGCCGGTCAATGATTAGTAGCAAGATGTGCAACGCTCCTGGCCAAAAACAGCGTAAACAAAGATGCGTCAGAACGTAAACAAAGGCATGCAGTTCCCTTATCTGCTACTGGCTGAGTAAAGTTTCATTATGTAATTTTAGGTTGGGTTTCCTTAGGTTAAGTTGCATTTCTTACCATTTCCACAAATTAAGCCCAATTAAGTAATCTAATATTGGACATTTTAAGGAATAAATTATCAATCAACACAGATCAGGACCTGGACTCAACATTACCTAAGGATTTTCCATACTGCAGTCTACGGCTGTAATAATAAAAATGTGATAACAATGACTTCCTAGATTATTGTTATTATAATCAAGGGGGGAGCACTAAACCCATAGGATTATACAGCACCTGTGGGATGTGGAAGGCATTCAGGTTTAATTCAGGGAACTGGAGCATATATCCAATTCCCTAGATCAAGAGCCCCTCACCAGCATCAAGGAACCTTCTTTGAGGGGATGACTACCTAGAACTTGTATAAATATGACGATTTTCATACAAAGAAAACCTATTACAAAATCAGGTGACAATTATATATAAATCCTAATAAGTATGATCATTTTGCACCTAAAGTAACATTATTATTGCAAAGGGGAATGTTAACCCTGTGGGCGTCATACAAGGCCTAGGACTCGAGTTAATCAGGTTCAATCCAAGGAAGAGGAGCATATCTCAAATTAACTGGATGAAGAGCCCTTGAGACACATGAAGACACCTTTCTTGAAGGTTACAACACTCAAGAAAACTTCAGTATCTGGCCTCGCCCACTGTAATTACAGAGGATGCGCTCTCGCCACTTCCATACATGTTTAAATATAAAACTAAGCACCTTCTTGATGTTGTAGATCCTTGTTAGGATCCCGGAGCACCTGTCATTTAGTATTGAGAGCTTTTCAGCAATCTTCTGCTGAGTGGGTGTTAAACTTCGAGACATTGTTCACAAACTTGACATTTTAGCAGCAACTCAACCTAAACAACTCGGCGGAAGTATACCACATTTCTTAATATATATTCTCACAACCACAAAAACCCTTACTTATATATTTTTTTCACTTCAAACGCATTTTAAAATCTCACTGCAATATTAACGTAATTCAATATTTTAAGAAAAATTATTTAATTTCTTCAGGCGACACTATGAAATGCAATCCTGATTTTTCTGCATTCGCATCCTCTGACACTAATTAAAGCAGTGTAATAGAATAGAGTGTAATATTTACCATATACCTTAATATAATAATATTGTAAACGATTTTGTAACAACTATAACTGTAAAATTATATTATAAAAATCTTTGTGATTTTTTTTCAAGAAATAAATATATAAGTTGTCAGTAAAGACGAACACATCAAGTCAGCTGTTGTGCTGAGGGAGAGACAGGAGTGCCACGTAAATGTTTATGGCAGGTTAGTTTATACTCTCATTTACTCTCAACTTAATGCTTTTCACATAAATGGCAAGAATATGTACGTCATCCTGCTTGGTCAATGTTAGTTATCAGGTCACAAGACGAAAAACTGGAACAATTAACTTACTGAGGAAACTGAACAAATTACTTCGTCAGAAGTTTTTTCTTTAAATTCAGTCCACAGCGTTGATCATGCTATGGACTGAACAGTTATCAAGGCTGAGGGGCTGAAGCTGTATAATCCTCTGGGTTTAGCGCTTCCCCCTTGATTATAATAATAATGAGGGGCTGAAAACACCCCAAAATTACCTCCAGTTTTATCGAGGATAGAGAACTAAACACCTCAAAACTTCCTCCACTGTCTACTTTATATTATTGTTCCGTAGGCAAAATGTTTCAGAAATAATTTTGTCAGTGTTGCATCAAGTTTTTCTCCTAATTGCTGCTTATTTTGTGAATTGAAGACAATTGAACAATTGCATATACAATAGACACTTTTTCATTATTTGCTGCATAGTACAGGATTTGCAAAGAATAAAAAGGCACAATACTATAACCAGAACAATACACAAATAACCCAGCCATAGAAAGAAACTTATGGCGACGTTTCGGTTCGACCTGGACCATTAGTCATATGCTAGTTAATGGCACAAGTTGGTCCAAAATGTTGTAATAAGTTTCTCCCGTGTCTGGGTTATTTTTGTACAATATTTGGAGTTATGGCCATTAGGCTGTTCAGGTTGAACTCAAGGTCAAAATTTTTATGCATAAATAAAGAGGCAATTAAACTTAAAATAAACTTAAAGTAGTAAATATAAAAATATTTTAGTAAATGGTGAATACAAAAATAAAAGAATGCTTTACCTAAAGATAGAAACATAGAAACTGTAAAGTATTTAAGTACTTGTAATGATGCAGATGAAATATCAAAGGTTTTATAGTGTGGTAACAAAATACTGATATACAGTATCAGAAAATATTGTTTAACAGATAAGTGGTACAAATAATAGGACAGATCAATATATGTATGCACTGTTTACTATTTAGCTAGTTAGTATAATACAAATTATAAATAAAAATAAAAAACAATAGTAATAAAATAAAAAAATGAAGTAGACAAAGTGAGACGAAATAACAACATTTAATATAAAAATGAAAAAGTAAGAGGATATGAACACGACACAGTATATTGTTAGTATGTATGTTACTAGAGGAGTTTTTTGTACTGACTGTTGCACAAGCGTTTAATGTTCATGAACCAACAGGTATGGCACACATACCAGAATCGTCACGTCGGAACAAGTGGCAATGAACATTACTTGCTAGTCATGCTTATTATGTCTTTTAAGCAGTAACAAAGGGAGGGTCAGTAGCAGGGAGGCACTGTACTTACCACTGTATGTGGAATATTGAAGTGTGTATTTCAGACTTATTCTGTCTTGATTAGGCAGGAATCATCAAGGAAATTTGTTAGGTCACTTTCAGTTGTCAGAAAAATAACCTTTGGCATTTTTTCTGACCACATTTTGAACACAATTCATCTTACAGACTTTTCTTAACTTGAATAAAAGGCCCTGTCATTTTTTTCTGATTTGTGGATGACTAATTTTTGATTTATGAAAACTGAGCAAGAGTGTTGATTTGGTAATAAAAAAAAATGACAACGTTGAACTGGAAGTCTATGATGAAATAAATATTGGTTATAATAATTGTTTTTAAAGTTTTCAAAATGCAAAAAAGTGATATTATATAGTGTATCCTGCCCTTTTTAAGTTATGTTTTGTGGTAGAACCAGTGGTTAGCTGTGTTTCAAAGTTCTCTGAATTATGACCATTAATTTCTCAGTATAACATCACTTTTTTGCCATTCAGTATTTTTTTTTTTAATTAACTGCTGTACTAATTTCAGAGAGCTTAAGAAACACTTGCTAACCTATACATTTTATTTATTCTACAGATACCAAGAAATTGGTCTCTAGAGGCTGGCTGTCTTTAAGAGAAAATGGCAGTTAAAGTACAAAATATTATATCAGCATGGAAGTCATTTGAATTGATCATGGTTCAGAGAGAACTTGATGTAACTGCTTCTGAACTTGCAACTCGTCAAGATGAATCTGAAGAATCTCGCAAGAAATTAGTTGAACTGTCAAGAGACTTCAAGAAAAATACATCAGAAGATGTTCGCAAACAAGTAGCTCCCTTACTGAAAAGTTTTCAAACAGAAATAGATAATCTGAATAAAAGGAGCAAATTTGTGGAAACTGCCTTTTTACATGTATATAAAAAAGTGATTGATATTGCAGACCCACTTCCTACCCTAGAATACTGTGCTGGTCTTGAAAAGAAAGTAGGACGTCTTGCTGATTTGGAAATTGAAAATAAGAATCTTAGGGAAACTTTACGCGAGTACAATGAAGAATTTAAAGAGGTTAGGAACCAAGATGTAACCATAAAAGCCTTAAAAGAGAAGATTAAGAACTATGAGGACTTAATGGATGATAATGTGCAGACTAAAACCAAAGAATTTGAAAAGGAATTATCCCGCCAGTTTGCAGAGAAAGAGAGGTTGCTTCATGAAACGCAGGAATCGGTAATGAGACGGCTACAGGATGCAGAATCAAGGGTTCAGACACTACAGTCTACTTTAGATCAAACTCAGTCAGAATTATTCGAATTAAAGAGTAAATCAGAAGAGTCAAACTTTGCAAAGTCGGATGAGGTTGATATTCTAATGAATGATCTTGAACGTGCTAACCAGAGAGCTGTAATAGCTGAGAAAGAGTCTGCACAGCTAAAGGAACATCTTAAAGCTTTGTCAGTTGCTCACAGTTCTCATATAGATAATGTGTCTAACTGTTTGTCATCCACAAATAAAATTGAGTCAACAGCTGATAATTTAGCAAGATCATCATTAGAAATTGAACTTGCTTCCAAGGACAAAGAGATATCCCAGCTTGTTGAAGACATTAAACAGTTACAACTTTCCTTAGATACCCTAAGAGAAACTTATTCAAAACAGATTGTGAATCTTGAAATGAAAGTGGAACAGGATAAGCAAGTCATTGCCAAATTAGAAAGCAGGATTGAAAAACAAAAAGATTACGATCAGATAAAAAGAGAGTTAAACATAATGAAGTCTGTTGAATTTGGCGTATCATCATCTAGTGTCAAAGAGGACAGTATCCATGAGTCATCAACACCACCTAAGCCACTGGAGATCCTCCTCCTAGAAAAAACGAAGGCTTTACAAAATGAGAACACTATGCTGAAGCAAGAAACGACAAATATATCTGCAAAAGTTTTAGAGGCAGATCAAGAACTTGCAAATCTGCGTGCTCTTGTAGCAGAACAGAAAGGATTGATTATTCATTTGGAATCAGATTTATCCTCAGTGCAGTCACTTTCAGCACTTTACCGTGGAGAAGGTGAGGGTTCTTGTATGCCAGAGATTGTAGCTGAGGCTGTCAGAGCATCCACTAGCAGCACCCCCCCTCTGTCATTCCCTGCTTCAAACACAAATCCACCAACTCCTACACCAGGGGGAATTCCACCAGACTTCACATCCGCTGCTGAATCTCTCTTGCCCATTGTATCTGCCCAGAGAGAGCGCTTTCGTCAGCGAAATGAGGAGTTGGAAGGGGAACTTACAGTTAAGGGGCAACAAGTGGTTCTTCTTCAAAACGAATTGGACACACTAAGAGTAGATAATCTCAAATTATATGAAAAAATAAGATTTATTCAATCATATCAAGGTAGACAAGCAAAGGAGGACACTGCAGCAGAATCTCGCTATAGTAGCCAGTATGAGGAAGCCTTAGATCCTTTCTCTTCATTTTCTCGCAAAGAAAAACAGCGCCGCTATGCAGCACTTAGTCCGTTCGAAAAAATTACTCTTTCTTTGGGGCGTTTCATTTTGAGCAATAAAACAGCACGAACAGTTACTTTCATGTACACGGCACTAGTGCATATTCTAATATTCTTAGTTTTATACAAACTGGCTCATACTGAATCATGCAAGCGAGATTTTGCTTCTGATTGCGCACAGAAATTTGCTGAACATATGCATCAAGTTCATGGCCACACAAATTTTCACCATTTACAACAGTAAATAGGTTTTAAAAGGAAACACATTCCCAGTACTAAAGGTGCAGATAACAGTATGTCTATCTAGCATAATCATAAACTGTATTTATATATTTGTATACATACCCTTCCCCACTTCTGTGGGGATTATAGCTTTTTTTAACTGAAACAGTGATGTTATATATACAGTATGTTAAAATGTAAGTATAGTATGAACTCACCAGTATTGGGAAACATGTAGATATTTTCAAGTGTTGTCATTTTATTTATATTGTGAAGATGAAAATACACTATGGTACTGTATTTTTAGTGGCTTAGTTACAGTAATGGGTGCTTTAGTGTAATTGTGGCTTTGGTTCTAATGCTTGAAGGATACTTGTTGATCCAGTTCATGAGAAATGTTTGTGTACAGTACCTGTACTTGCAAAAAAAAAAAAAAAAAAAAAAAAGTACCATTCTGGAATCTCTTGCACAATGGTTCTAAAATTTCAGAAGGTTATAGGAATAGCAACAAATAAGGTTTTAAAACTAAGAGGTTGGGAAAACATCAAAGGAGAGAACAATTTTTTTTACCCTAAGTTTTATCTTACAAATATACATTAATACAAAAACCATTGAACATTCATACATATTATACTCATCATATACAAGGAAAAATGTTGCATGTCATATCTTCATTGAGAAATGCAATAGTAAGTCTTGCTAGCAGTGAGTGATGGTAAACAGTAGTAGAAGGTAATAGCATCTGTCTTATCTAACTTCATAAAACTGGAAAGAAACAGCCTAGTTTCATGTACACATTATGCCACTTGTGTTGCCATCTTCCCCAATAAAATCTAACAAAAATGCACATCTTGTCATAATACCATTGCTAGCTAAGCATGTCACTGTCAGAAGCTACTCTCCCTCCCACATTCTCTTCAGTTACAAAAGCAAGTAAACTTAGCTACATTGAATACTTGCTGCTTGTTTAGGCAACATATCCAATTATTTCCAGCAGAGAAAAATGCTGTCTGTCATAGCTTGAGAAAAGAAATGAAGGGCCCAAGAGCTCCAGTGCATTAAAAAACAAAAAAATTCTCCTTCCTTTTGGGTGCCTGGGTTAACGTAGCACCTAAAGGGATTATTGTAGTGATAAAAAAAAATCAGAACACATGGAAAATCTGCACCACTGTTCAAGAAAGTTTTGTCTTGGTTTACTATGGGACCTCTGACATGGATGAGAATGTGAAGCGAATGATCTCAATATTTGAACATTTATACAGTAAAGTGGAACCTTGGTTTTCATGATTAATCCATTCGAAAAAATCTGTTGAAAACTGAATCATATGAAAACTGATGCAATGTTTCCTGTAAGAAACAATGTAAACCCATTTAATCCATTCCAGACACTCAAAAATATTAACAAAAAATACATTATATAGAGAATAACTAGAGTTTTACATTCAGAAGGCAATGAGAAATATAATTGACTAATGAAATGGATAAATGAACATTTAACATCACTTTTACCTTTATTGAAGACTCTTGTTGGCGTATTAAAAATGGCGAGGAGGGGAGGAGGATGAGAGGTTATTGTTTGGAAGGGGAATTTCTATCTATAAGGAATTCAGGTATCAAGGCCCTATCCAGGGTTACTTCCCTTTGTCTTTTACTGGTACTAGGCCCTGCTTGAGTCACGGGACCCCTGTCACACAAAAAATCTGTCCAGAGAGGTCTGTTTCTGGCGTCTCTAAGATTCACCTAAAATGGGACAAAGCATTGTTATTGAACATGTTGCAGACACGGCTTGCAACAGCTTTGTTAGGGTGATATTTCTCCACAAAACTTTGCAACTCATTCCATGCCTTATTGTTAGCCTTCCACATCACACACAATTTACTCTTGATGACATTGTTTTTCTTGAACACTGGAATTTTCAGAGTGATACACCAGTAAAGGCTTCACTTTGAAATCCCCACAAGCATTACCACAGAACAAGAGAGCTAGCCAATCCTTCATAGGCTTGTGTCTTGGCAGTGCCTTTTCCTCCTGCATGATGTAGGTCCTCTTTGGCATTTTCTTCCAAAAGAGGCCTGTTTTGTCACAGTTTAAGTCTAGTTGGGAGAGGAATCCTTCAGCCTCTATGTACTCCTTGAATTCATCAACAAATTCTTCAGCCCCATGTTTGTCTGAACCTGTAGCCTTACCATGCTCTACCACACTGTGTATGCCAATTCGCTTCTTGAATTTGTCAAACCAGCCTCTGCTGGCCTTAAATTCACTAACAGCAGCACTCGTTCCAGGCATTTTGTTTGCGAGATCCGCATACATCTGCCTTGCCTTTTCGCAGATTATCACCTCCAAATCATCATCATCCACTAAGTGTTTTTCATTGATCCACACCAGTAACAACTTCTCAACATCTTTGATTATTTGCGATCTCTGTTTTGTTAGCACATTTACCCCTTTCGCAATGTGAGCTTCCTTGATTTCTTTTTTCTTCGCCAGGATGGAACTGATTGTTGATGCGGACTTCCCATACATCCTGGCAAGATTGGCCATGCGTACGCCACTTTCATAATTTGCTATGAGTTATTTCTTAAATTCTGTCATGTTTCTCGCCTTCTTTATCAAAGGGCTGGCACTCGGAACTTTCTTTAGCCCCATGGTGGCTTATTTAGCAGTCGCAATCAATAAACAAGCACAAAAAACAGTGGATTATTACGAAATGTTTCGGATGAACGTGTGGGGTGATGCTCATCCAACGAGAAACAAAGGTGGACTGAGTCACGAACGCATGGGATGCTTTGTGTGGGTGCTCGATTCCAGGAAATGAGTGGCCAAGTCATGTGGGCAGGTGGACAAGTTTGGTATGGACCATTTTCAACTGTACGAAAACTGAGTGGATGTACAAAAACTGGGATAAAACTTTGATGAAAAAAGTCGTCGAAAACCAAATCGTGTGAAAACTAGGGCATATGAAAACCAAGGTTTGACTGTGCAAGTATATGTGAATTGCACTGAATTGATGTACAACTTAGACAAAGTTCTTTAAGCAAAATTTCATATTGCTAATCACTTCTGCCAATAGACGTAATGTTATAATTGGGAGTTGCATTCCCAGACTAAAAATGACCAGAGAAATTGTGAATTCCCAGATTTATTGTCGGAAACAAAAGCATACAAGCATCAGAAACGTAACTGGACAACTGGAGATAAATTAAACTTCTGACGGATTCAGAAGGCACACATGAAAATTAAACATAGGGCAAACTGAATGGCAACAATGAGTCCTGCTTTTATTTGGAGGGATTTTGAGCCAACCAGAGGGTATGCATTTCATTATAAAAGTTTGTGTTAGCGAAGTTTTGTAATGTGAATCTTCGTAAAGTGAGGACAGTCCTGTAAAAGGGATGCTATTATGCGGTATAATCCTTAAAAATGCTAAACCAATAGAGAGAGTTTTGAAATTTTAATTGTGTACCACACACAGCTGCATATGTAATTGGCCTAAACTGCACTTTTGAAAGGCTGTTAGAATTGAAGACATGCTACAGTATTAGAAAAGGTAATCTTTTTAAATTTCATAAGAAAATAGTCCAGTTTCAATATGTAGTACTTCTAATGTACTGAACATTGAATCCTTACTGTGTATGGACACCCTGTTAAATTATTTACAATACGTACACTGTGGAGGAGAAATAGGTGAGTAAATATGTACACCCAAAGTCTATCATTAAGGCAAATTTATTACATTCTCTCTCTCTTTTTACAAACTGATTTGCTGCTGAAGATAGATTATAGCTCGGTATGCCTGCGCTGTGTACGCTTAATCGTTTAACAGTGGCTCCCAGCCTGTGGACTACAGACCCCTGAGGGGCCACTGAGTTATTCCATGGGGACTGCAAACTTTTTGCAGCAAGTATTGCTCATTCATCATTTTTAGTGCTTGATTTCCTCTTGTTTATCAGTGAGTATCCACCTCATGTTGTGAGTACTGGTAATGCCAGTCTCTCAGATCTGGCATCAGAAGAACTCAAAGAGCCTAATAGAACTTTCATGTGATAGCTCTTTAAAGCTATTTTTCACCCAAAAGCACAGTGTTGATTTGGTTACATGTATATTCTGAGTACCCAAAACAGTCTGATAAGTCTGTAAAGTACTGGATGCCTGTTCTTACCTGTGTTTGTGAAAATGGATTATTTTGCTCTTGTTGCATCTAAATCAAAGTACATACTAAAAACTGGATGTGGAACCAGATTTAAGGCCAAAACTTGAATGGCTTCCACCAAACATCCAGTCTCTGAAAGCTGCAAAGCAGCACCAGCTATCTTATTAAGTGACTTAGTACAGTATAATAAATAAGCAAATACTGTAGTGACTTAGTATAATAAATTAGCAAATATACTGTACCTTCATACTCATACTCTTGCTGCTGTTGTCACCACTATTTCAACTCCCAAATAATTATTATAACTAAAATTGTAAATACAGTTTTGTATTACTATCTGTTCATAGTACCATTGCTGTTTTAATATAGAGTTTTGTTGCTTACTCATTAAGTTTAACAATTTTATCTTCAGACAGATATTGAGCTTAGCATTCAAATCATCAAACTTCAGTAATTTAAAGTTGAATGGTTTTTACAACTCTAGTTTGAGTCTGCATAACCAGGGGTTTTTGAAAATTTGTGAAATAAATGCCCCATAATTTTGTAACAATTTTGTACATTTGAATAGTTAAACTTGTTTGTTCTGTGGACTGATTAAATGATGTCTCATGTATATATAAGCCATTATGTATATATTTGTTGTTGTGATAATTAAAATATGAAGTTATTTACAAGCATTATTTATTCACAATAACGACTACCTGTATTAGCATATGAGGGTCCAATGATTTTTATTGAGGCTCAAAAGGGTCCCTGTATTAAAAAATTTAGGCACAAAATAATTTGTGCTTAAACTTGCATTTGTTGTAGCACCTATTACCTTGTGTATCACGTTCACATGCTCTACAAATTGTGAAGAAAGGTTGTCTAATAGTCTTCCAGCACTTTTATTCTCAGCTTAAAATTGTACCTTCTGTTTTCCCTGTTGATAGTGCCAAGATATCTTACAATTTTTTTATACAGTAGTCCCCCCATATCCGCAGGGGATGCGTTTCGTGACCTACCGCAGACACCTGAAACTGTGGATAGTAGCAAACCCTACATATAAATCTTTTTTTGTTTACATACATACCTATGATAAAGTTTAGTTGATAAATTATGCACTTTTTCACTGATGGGAAGGAATTCACGGCTTCTTATAGGCTTTGAAGAACTTCCACCAACATTGCTTTTGTGTTTTATGGTCATTATTCAGCAAAATTAAGGCTTATTTTTGGGACATGGCAAACCACAGATAACTGAAACCATGGAAACCAGAGACAAGGGTCCTTCTGTATATTTTATGACCTTATACGTGGTTGTTAGGTTTTAGTTTTCTTTCCATATCAGCCAACAAATCCATTTTTAGTGTTTTCATTCTTAGACACTATTCTTTTATACCTTTGGTAGCCACTTTGTAGCTTGACTTTCACCCAGGGAGGCATTACCATCCACTCATATGGGTAAAACATTAGCTTAATAAAGTTTTTGCACTCTGATACAATTCCTGGCCTTTGCTTTCTGTCTTGTGAACATGTAGAAGGTATTTTTTTTAGAAACTTCTGCATACATTAGTGATATATACTGTACATTTATCTTGAGTTTCCTGTTTATTAATATCCTGTCATTTCCACAGCACAGCTTTCTTTGTTTCCAATGTGTTTATAATATTTTTTAGTGCAAGTACTTCTCTCTCTCTTTCTCATATAGTTAATTTAATTAGCCCATACAAACCACTGAAAAATGACTACACTATAGTAATAATGAATTTAAGATAAACACACTGAACTGTTTACCATAAAAACAAATCTTCATAGGGCTCCAGACATCTTACCTAGGGTGCAGCTGTTGTATGACATGGGAAATTGCAGTGTATTTCAATATATGTACAATTGTTATTAGATCTTGTGCATTAAATCATTTCCACTTTTAGTATGAAATATTTGCTGTAATCGACAATGAGACACAAACCATAATCTTAGAATAATATACTGTATGTCAGTTCTACAGTACAATTATGATGCCAATCACTGTATTATTCTGCATTCAGTAATGTTACTAGCTTTTTCAGACCATTATGATCAGCACAGATAAACCAACATTTGCTACTGCTTTGGCTCACCCTAGTGACATTAGCTACCCCACTTTCAGATGTGTCCTCACACAGCATTTTACCATGTCTTACCTTAGTGTTGGCACCATTGAACAGTTCATCTCATAATTATACCTGAATCATGTGATTTTCCTGTACAAATCACTCATGTACTATTGGAACAGTTAATTATCATAAAATACAGTAGTACCTTGATATTCAAACTTAATCCATTCCTGGAGGCTGTTCAGATAGTGAGTTGTACAAATATTTAATAATTTTTTTCCCATAAGTAATGTTAATTAGATTAATTCATTCCGTAATGTTTAAAGTGAGATATATCCTTAAAAAATTGAATGAACTTAAATCAGAAACATAATTTTGTATATGTAAATTCTAGATTCACTGAACCTCTATAAATGTATCCCCTCATGAATTTAAGTATTCATCTACAGTGCTGTGGCATGTTAACCTTACCATGCTGTTTACAATAGGTGTTTTTACCTTGTAGTTCTCAAAATATTGAAACTTGAATAATATGAAATCTTGTTATACTGTCCCTTCCTCACACACTAACATTAGGTTATGACAGTAATGAAAATATTAAAATAGCTGACAGTTTGAACAGATATGCAGAGCTATTCAAAAATTGTGGTAAATAGTAGCTCAGTGGTTAGGGCATTCATTTGGAAATTGAAAGAATGAGGATTCAGTTCCTGAGTTGGGTGAGGCGTATGGGTAAATCTCCTTATAAACTTTGTTCCTGTTCACCGAGCATTACATACTAGGTATTAGTACATTATTATTATTAATATTATATTAGTGAAGTGCTGAATCTGTAGGGGTAATACAGCACCCAGGGAATGGGAGGGTAGCTCTAATTTTTTAAATAAAGAAGCCTGTAGTGGATGGCATCATGATGGATGGTATACTTGGTAGGGTTGGGCTTTGAAATGAGGTTGGATAGTAGCTCTTATCCTATGAAACTAACTGCTAAAAAAAAATAAAGTGAGAGTAAAAGGTAGATGGGATACAAGGAAAATAGAAGCAGCAAGTAAGAGAGGTGAAGGTTTATAAACTAAAGGAAGAGGCAATTAGGGTAAGATATAAACAGCTATTGGAGGATAGATGGGCTAGTTAGAGTATAGGCAATGGGGTCGAAGATGTATGGGGTAGGTTTAAGAATGCAATGTTAGAGTGTTCAGCAGAAGTTTGTGGTTACAGGAAAGTGGGTGCAGGAGGGAAGAAGAGTGACTGGTGGAATGATGATGTAAAGAGAGTAGTAAGGGAGAAAAAGTTAGCATATGAGAGGTTTTTACAAAGTAGAAGTGATGCAAGGAGGGAGGAGTATATGGAGAGAAAAAGAGATTGAGAGAGCAGTGAAGCAGTATAAAAAGAGAGCATATGAGAGAGTGGGTAAGATAATATCAACAAATTTTGTTGAAAATAAGAAAAAGTTTTGGAGTGAGATTAACAAGTTAAGAAAGCCTAGAGAACAAATGGATTTGTCAGTTAAAAATAGGAGAGGAGAGTTATTAAATGGAGAGTAAGAGGTATTGGGAAGATGGAGGGAATATTTTGAGGAATTGTTAAATGTTGATGAAGATAGGGAAACTGTGATTTCGAGTATAGGGCAAGGAGGAATAACATCTTGTAGGAGTAAGGAAGAGTCATTTGTGAGTGTGGGGGAAAATTCGTGAGGCAGTGGGTAGAATGAAAGGGGGTAAGGCAGCTGGGATTGATGGGATAAAGATAGAAATGTTAAAAGCAGGTGGGGATATAGTTTTGGAGTGGTTGGTGCTTTTATTTTAGAAATGTATGGAAGAAGGTAAGGTTCCTAGGGATTAGCAGAGAACATGCATAGTTCCTTTGTATAAAGGCAAAGGGGACAAAAGAGAGTTCAAAAATTATAGGGGAATAAGGCTGTTGAGTATACCTGGTAAAGTGTATGGTAGAGTTATTATTGAAAGAATTAAGAGTAAGACGGAGAGTAGGATAGCAGATGAACAAGGAGGCTTTAGGAAAGGTAGGGGGGGGGGTGTAGACCAGGTGTTTACAGTGAAACATATAGGTGAACAGTATTTAGATAAGGGTAAAGAGTTTTTTGTGGCATTTAGGAATTTGGAAAAGGTGTATGACAGGGTGGATAGGGGAGCAGTGTGGCAGATGTTGCAAATGTATGGCATAGGAGGTAGGTTACTGAAAGCAGTGAAGAGTTTTTATGAGGATAGTGAGGCTTAGGTTAGAGTATGTAGGAGAGAGGGAGATCATTTCTCAGTAAAAGTAGGCCTTAGACAAGGATGTGTGGTCACCATGGTTGTTCAATATATTTATAGATGGGGTTGTAAGAGAAGTGAATGCTTGGGTGTTGGCAAGAGGTGTGGGGTTAAAAGATAAAGAATCTAACACAAAGTGGGAGCTATTACAGTTGTTCTTTGCTGATGACACTGTGCTTTTGGGAGATTCTCCAGAGACATTGCAGAGGTTGGTGGATGCTTTTGGTAGGGTATGTAAAAGAAGAAAATTTAAAGTGAATATAGTAAAGTGACGAGGATAAAATTAAGTAATGAAAGATTGGATATCAGATTGGAGGGAGAGAGAGCATGGAGGAGGTGAATATATTCAGATATTTAGGAGTGGACGTGTCAGCAGATGGGGCTATGGAAGATGTGGTGAATCATAGAATTGATGAGGAAAAAAAAGGCGAGTGGTGCACTTAGGAGTCTATGGAGACAAGGAACTTTGTCCATAGAAGCAAAGAGGGGAATGTATGAGAGTACAGTTATACCAACACTTATATGGGTGTGAAGCATGGGTGGTGAATGTTGCAACAAGGAGAAGGCTGGAGGCAGTGGAGTTGTCATGTCTGAGGGCATTGTGTGGTGTGAATATAATGCAAAGAATTCATAGTTTGGAAATTAGGAGGAGGTGTAGGATTACCAAAGCTATTATCCAGAGAGCTAAGGAAGGGTTGTCGAGGTGGTTCAGACATGTAGAGAGGACAGAACAAAACCATGATTTTGAGAGTGTATAAATCTGTAGTGGAGGGAAGGTGGGGTAGGAGTCGGCCTTGGAAAGGCTGGAGGGAGGGGGTATAGGAGGTTTTGTGTGCGAGGGGCTTGGACTTCCAGCAAGCATGCATGAGTGTGTTAGGAGCCAATGGAGACGTATGGTTTTTAGGACTTGACATGCTGTTGGAGTGTGAGCAAGGCAACATTTATGAAGGTATTCAGGGAAACTGGCAAGCCAGACTTGAGTCTTGGAGATAGAAAGTACAGTGCTGCACTCTGAAGGAGGGGTGTTAATGTTGCAGTTTTATAACTGTAGTGTAAGTGTACCTCTGGCAAGACAGTGATGGAATGAATGATAATGAAAGTTTTTCTTTTTTGGGCCACCCTGCCATGGTGGGATATGGCTGATGTGTTAATAAATAAATAAAAAACATTAGATAAGGTACATTTATATGCACTACTGTAAAGTACTGCATATTTAACTAAAAGCATCTGTTACTGGAAGTATTTTAGTCATTGTCATAATTATTCATGCTGTGCAATGATTTGTCCAACTTTTAAAATATCAGAGACTGCTATGATAAACCTTTATTTTATCAGACTTTTTATGTGGTACTGAACTCATAATAAATAATTGTAGGTTATGATTGTTTTAGCAAATAGATTTTTAGATATTGCATGTGTAGTGCCAAGTAAAGCTTGTGGCATGGTGCTTTTGGGATAGATGGTTTATCAGTCTTCTTTGGCAATGTTTCATAACTAGGCTTCACTAAAAGTATTTTCATTTCTATTCAAACTGTGCACTCTGCATGCAGGTTTTGGGATTAGCTTTTGTATAATATAACTTACAGGGTATGTAAAATGAAAATATACATGACTGTAGTGTTCTTAGATGGCACTGGGATTGAAGTACATATATTTAAGTATCAAAACAAAATGTACTATTCAGAATGGTTCATTTATGTCCTTGTATATTAGTACACATGAAGAAAGTTATTGAATAGAGATAATTTAGTGCTAAGACCATTTGCATTTTAATTAGAACACTAAATTTTGTGAGCTTTTAAGTTTGGTGGTGTTTTCTGGATAGAATTTTAGTACTCATTTCTTGAAAGTATAGTTCTTTACTAGAATACTGTATCAGTGGTAGTGGTGACTTAATTGTTTCTGTGAACAAGGAAGCTAAGTTAAAATATGAATGGAATGAAGGATAATAAATTTGGAAGGATATTTCATAGATTATGTAAAAGTGATTTAACATAATTATAAAGCTACCCTTGAAATACAAAGAATTGTAATTTTTAAGGTGAAAGGCTAAAATAAAAGATGTGCTTATGAAAATATTTTGAAATTAAGTAACATTTGTTTTGTGAATGTTCTTCAGTCAGTTTGAATGCTGTGTGTGTGTGGGGAAGTTGAAGGTTGAATATGAAGGTAGATAACCATCATTCCGCTGTTTTTATAAGTTGTTAACACTTGGTTCAGCCCACATATTATATTTTGATAATAATGAAAATGAATAAAAGACCAAGTTAAAGCATATTATTTTTAACCTCAAAACAAGGATGAGTAAAATATTTTTTATATACATATATAAAATAAGGATACGCATTATCCTTTGCCTATGCAGTAAAGGACATGTTGTTCAATTATAATTAAATTAGGTCCTTTTAGACTACTAATATAATCATCACAGTTTTATTTAGTTTAAGAAGGTTAATTTTTTTATGCTATAACTGCTGAATGGCAGTTAATTTAATACAATGTTGCATTGTATTGTACAGTGGAACCTCAAATATCGAACTTTCTTCGGTCCAGAAGGCTGTTCGAGTGCCTTTACCGAATGAATTTATTCCCATCAGGAATAATGTAAATTAGATTAGTCCATTTCAGACCCTCAAAAATACACTTATAAAAGCACTTACAAAAATACACTTACATAATTGGTTGTGTTGGGAGCAGTTCAATTTTTGAGGTTCCACTGTATAAGGTTCCAGTGCTCCAGTAGCTTTATGAAGAATTACACAAGCCAACATTTTTGTATTTGTGGATAAAATGTTGATAACAGAATACTGTACCATGTTAGATTATTATTTGCAAGAAAGTGTGGGATCTGAATAGGTCATACAGCATTAAATACTATAAATAGATAAAGTTTTAAGTTAATATTTGTAATTATATACCACTGATAAACAAAATTGGTGTCATTGGTTGTAAATTCAAATACCCTTTGTATACGGCATTATTCATGAAGTTGATCCCCTCGAGGAATGTTCCTTGACTCTGGCGAAGGGCTCTTGATCTAGGAAACTGGATCTGTGCTCCAGTTCCCGGAATTGAGCCTGAATACCTTCCACATCCCCCCCATAGGTGCTGTATAATCCTACGGGTTCAGTGCTTCCCCCTTGATTATAATAATAATCATGGTGTCAGTATGTCAACCCACCAACCATTGTTTGCTTCTTATTTGATGAAATCCATGTGCTGCATAAATTGAAATGGAATCCCAGTCCAGTCCTGTTCTAGTACTCTTGTGGGTAGTGTGTTGTCAATTGTGTCAGCAGCCAATAGAAATTGGACCATCAGCATAAAAGAATAGTACAGTTAAATACACACTTCTGTGCTAAGATCATGAAGGATCCAACATTGCTATCACAGCTCAGGATATATTGATTCATGCCTACAACACACTAGATAGTGTCCATACACCAACTGGCTGAAGGCAAATGTGAATGATACAGTCAAGCTGAACATCCTTATTAAATCCAATATACCTCTCCATGATATCCCTCCCAACTCACTACCTACTGTAAGGATATCATACACACCTGTCACTAAGAAGTACAGTGAGAATCACTCCTTAAGACAGCAGTGCAAGAAACCATTGCTTCGTATATGGATACCTTGCTGCCCAGTATACAGTGGACCCCCGGTATTCGATATTAATCCATTCCTGAGAGTTCATCGAATACCGAAAATATTGAAAAGCGAATCAATTTTCCTCATAGGAAATAATGGAAATCAAATTAATTCGTGCAAGACACCCAAAAGTATGAAAAAAAAAAATGTTACCACATGAAATATTAAGTTTAATGCAATAGAATAATAACAACAATAACAATAGAATAATTGACACTTACCTTTAATGAAGATCTGGTGATGACTGATGGGATGGGAGGAGGGTTAGAGGTGTTAGTGTTTAGAAGGGGCATCTCCTTCCATCAGAACTTGAGGTAGCAAGTCCTTTTCCGGGGTTACTTCCCTTCTTCTTTTAATGCCACTAGGACCAGCTTGAGAGTCACTGGGCTTCTGTTGCACAACATATCTGTCCATAGTGGCCTGTACCTCCCGTTCCTTTATGACATTCCTAAAGTGTTTCACAACATTGTCAGTGTAATAGTCACCAGTGTGGCTTGCAATAGCTGTCATCAAAAATGGTTTGCACTTTAAGCCTCATTGCAAACATTTCCTTAATCTTTGAAGTAGGCAACTTCTTCAATTTCTCTATCCCCTCCTCCGAAGCAGTTTCCTCAGGTGTGGCCTCTTGCTGTTGAAGATGATCTAGCAGCTCATCAGTGGTTAGTTCTTCATTGTCCTCCTCCACCAACTCTTCCACATCCTCCCCACTAACCTCCAACCCCAAGGACTTTCCCAATGCCACAATGGATTCCTCAACTGGCATAGGTTTCTCAGGGTTAGCCTCAAATCTTTCAAAATCCCTTTTGTCTACACATTCTGGCCACAGTTTTTTCCAAGCAGAGTTCAAGGTCCTCTTAGTCACTCCCTCCCAAGCCATACCTATAAGGTTTATACAATTGAGGATATTAAAGTGATCCTTCCAAAACTCTTTTAGAGTCAGTTGAGTTTCTGTGGTCACTACAAAGCACTTTTGAAACATAGCTTTTGTGTACAGTTTCTTGAAGTTGGAAATGACCTGCTGGTCCATGGGCTGCAGGAGAGGAGTGGTATTAGGAGGCAAAAACTTGACCTTAATGAAGCTCATGTCCCCAGAAAGTCACTCTGCCAAGTCTGTAGGATGACCAGGGGCATTGTCTAATACCAGGAGGCACTTAAGGTCTAATTTCTTTTCAATTAGGTAATTTTTCACAGTGGGGGCAAATTCATGGTGTAACCAGTCATAGAAAAAGTCCCTAGTGTCCCATGCCTTACTGTTTGCCCTCCACAGCACACACAAATTAGCCTTGAGGACATTGTTTTTCCTGAACACACTGGGAGTTTCAGAGTGATACACCAATAAAGGCTTCACTTTGCAATCACCACTAGCATTGGCACACATCAACAGAGTAAGCCTGTCTTTCATAGGCTTATGTCCTGGGAGTGCCTTTTCCTCCTGAGTAATGTAGGTCCTGCTTGGCATTTTCTTCCAAAACAGGCCTGTTTCGTCACAATTAAACACTTGTTCAGGTTTCAAGTCTTCACTGTCTATGTAATCCTTGAATTCATGCACATATTTTTCAGCTGCTTTTTAGTCCGAACTGGCAGCCTCACCATGCCTTATCACACTATGTATGCCACTACGATTCTTAAATCTTTCAAACCAACCTTTGCTGGCCTTAAATTCACTTACTTCAGCACTAGTTGCAGGCAATTTCTTTACCAAATTGTCATGCAACTGCCAAGCCTTTGCACAAATGATCACTTGAGAGATGCTATCTCCTGCTATCTGTTTTTCATTTATCCACACCAATAACAGTCTCTCAACATTTTCTAACACTTGCGGTCGCTGTTTCGTAATCACAGTTGCACCTTTTGCAAGAACAGCTTCCTTGATTGCCATTTTCCTGGTCACTATAGTAGAGATGGTTGATTGGGGTTTACTATACAACCTGACCAGCTCCTACACACGCACTCCACTTTCGTACTTTGCAATTATCTCTTTCTTCATTTCAATAGTCATTAGCACCTTTTTTCTCGAAGGGTTGGCACTAGAAGCTTTCTTGGGGCCCAGGGTGACTTATTTTGCAGAAACAAGCACCAAAAACAGTGATAATGTGGAATGTACCGAATGTATCCTTAGATGCGCGCACACTGGCTGGCTTGTAAACACTGGCACACACGGGGCAGTTCAGGCCACATGTGGACACGTCTCGTACGAATCGCATCGAATACCGGGTTTTTGGTCGGATACCGAGGCAAAATTTTTGCGATATAATGCATCAAATACCGGATTTATCGAATACCGATGCCATCGAATACCGGGGTCCACTGTACTTATTTTTCATTCAAAAACTTGTGAATTCCTCTTTCGATTGGTTTCAAATCTTCAACAATGATATTTAACTGCATGTAGTAGACTGCAATGTCCTACTTCTTAGACTAGAACATTATAGAATAAGAGGACCCTAATGGAAACAAGTCACTTCGTCTGACTCTTTTAGGGGGCTTATCCTAGGCAATTTAAACACATTACTATGCATGATAATTGTACTTGTGTACCTGTATCTTAATACAGGTGGGCCCTGCTTTACAGCGCTTCACTTTACAGTATTTCACTAATGCATCGGTTTTCAGTTACACCCATTTTTCATTTATTCAGACTTCCTAAAATGAATATATTCACCACTCACTATAAGCCAAGGATGAAAATATTTTAAGGTAAGTAATGTGTGTACTGTATATGCATTTTTTAGGCCTAGCTCTATTGCTCACTGAATATATGATAGGGTAAGCATGTTATCAGGCTTTTATATGCATTTGAAAGTGACAAAAGGCTATGTTTCACTTTATACCTGCTGTATAAGCAGGGCCCTCATGTAAACTTGTTTACTACTTATACTCTCCTTAAATGACAGTGTCAACATATGGCAGTATTGCATCTACTCAGCCCATCAACATAGGGGTAGTGCAAGACAGCCTTCTCTAGGGCCACTTTCATTTTTCCTTTATATAAATGACCTACCTAATGCATCTCAACAACTTAGCTATTTCTTGTCATGCCTACATAAATTAAAAATCTCATCAGCTTTAAAAAATTAAAGGCAAAAAAGTTCTAAAATGGTAGAGAATCTTTTTCCTGAAGGTGACACCAAAAATTTGAAATTTGATGAAAATGTTGTGGAATTATGAAGGCACAAAATTGGAGACCTATTTTAGGCTAATTTCATTGCCCAAACTGACCCAGTTCCTGGCTATGTCATTAGTATTCCTTCTGTTCTATTGAGTGAGCACACAAAACTGCCCTTTCAGCCAACAGAACTACCCTATAAAGTGGACAGTTTCACACACAATTCAACAAATTCCAATTGAAAAAATCCAAGATAAACAATGTAGACATTCCATCCACTAAAACAATCGTTCCTCTATTCACTACTCATGCCCCAGGCCCCTCCTATATAACACCTGCCTTTCATTTTAAATCCATTATTACAAAAAAATTTTTTACTGTTTTTACACTAATAAAATATAATCAAGAATGAGTGGTCATTCTTGGTTATGCATATTTGAGGCAGACCTAATATGAACCAATAAAACAGACTGGGGGAGGGGTGTCCTACCCTATCCTCTCTCAGAAAAATT